GGATGTATACTATGGGAGGAGGCGATGGAGGATGCAGGATGCATCCACGTAGATTAGGAAGATGATCGGACCAGCTGACGATGAAAAGGCCGCCCGATCATCTAAGACATGATGACCTTAGCAATCGGGAGACTGCTAATTTTTCAGAACCCCCTGCGTATCACAGATGTGATAAAATCAGACCCGTACCGCGCGGCTTCCCGTATCCCTGAGGAAAAATCCCGCGAAAGCCCCAAAGTACGGACGCGAACAGAAAGGGGTTTTTCTTTCTTTTTGCTTTTGTTTTCTTTTTGAAACGGCTTTTTCATTTTGTTTGGTTAATAACTCCCGCGCGGGCGAATATCGGCCGCAGTATAAAAACCAAGAAACAGGTGCGGTTGGGACCTTTTGAATTTTTGCGCGCGCACGCTTAAGCTCCGATTTCTTCGCGCGTCTCGCACCCCCGTTTCTTGCTTTGCCTCCTCGCGCCATCTTCCTTTCTTGCTGCGCGCACTTCCCTCAGGCCGGACTCTTCGTCTTCCCCCACGCCCAACTTGATCCTTACCTCGTCTTCCTCTGCGAAGTGATTGGCTGCGTAGTTGGGTTGCTCGGATCAAGGTGGAGAGCGGGAAACCGCGCCCTTGAACGAACACCCCAATCACGTAGGACCATGCAACCCCCCGGGTCGAACCCTTTAACTCCCCACCGTTCTTCTGTCTTGCTCATCTACACCCTGCGCTGCCCGCACCTCGCGCTGACAACCCGCCGCCTCCCGCACTATAAATTTGCGCAACCCTCTCCTCTCTCTCTCTTTGATATCGGCTGCAATGCTGCGCGAGCTATGCGCAAAGTCCGCGGCGCCGAACAGGCTCGACGAGCCCAAGGACGGGCGGAGTGACGAAGTGGGGTGGGCCCGCGGTAGTCACGGGGCGAAGCAGTCGGAGGGACTGAGCAGTGGTGGGGATTGGACGCCGGCCGCGGCAGGGCCTTGTGGCCATGGTGGTCGGTGGTCTTGGGAAGTTTTGAAGGTTGCGCCTGGGGGCGGCAGTTAATTGAGAATTTTTGTGTACAAGAAGGACTCGCTTTTATCTCCATCGCTGCTTTGTCTATGCATGTTGCGTGTGTGAGGCCCCGAGTAATGGGAAGCTTGTTGTGCGCATGAGTGATGTCAAAGGTCTATGGATGATTGGATGTCCTGTCAATAGTTGTTGATTGCATGTATGTATGTGTGTATGTACCTATCCGGGCGGGGACGGAGGAACAAAACTAGGGGACCGTCTGCTTAGGAGTATGAGTGTGTTAATCCCGTTGTTCCCCTCCCTTCCGCGGCCCTTCRTGCGCGCACGCGCAGTCTCGGTGTAAACTCACTCTCTCTCCCTCTCTCTCCCGCCTTCCTTTTTGGACTGATAGCCATCGCTTTTGAACTTCTCGTCCCCGTACCGGTGACGTCAACCGCCTACGTCCGCGCGCGCTGTCGACGCCCCCGCAAGGGGAAGAGAACTTTGATTTCGCCACCTTCCTCCGACGCACTAACTTTGAGAGGGAAGGTTGCATCGAGTGTTGTATGGAGTCGATGTTGGTTCCGATGACCGGGAGCGCGGATCTTGCCCGTGTTCATCGCGTACCTCCGATCTTCTCATCTCGCTATCGACCTTCCCCATCACACATGACGACATCATCTACTGCGATGCGGACGTACGGCGCTCGCTGAGGCGAACGGAGCAAGTGTGTTGGCGGGACCCGCCTCGGGCTTGCGATATAAGGGGGAACGGGTTTGTCTTGATTGATCGTTTTGATTCCCCGACTCTAATCTTGCCTTATACGGGTTTAACTGTGTTGCCCTGGTCGGCCGCTCACGCCGCGTGGCGGCCGCGGTTTGATTGTCGCTGGTGTCGCAAGGGGGACTCGTGTTCTTGGCGACGCTTGGTCCTGGGTTACGAGGGAGCGGCACGTTTCCCCGAGCTCTCCCGTAATGCGGGGGCTCTGCTCGCGCAATTTCGAATTCGGATGCCGACGAGCCCTCCCGTCGTTTCACCCTCTCAGAAACTTTCGCGCGGACTCTGTGAGTCCGACGCCGAGGCTTGACGGCCTCGAACCAACCACCTCTACCAGCAAAGACCCGATGGTCCGGTCACTTCGTGAGGCCGATGACGAGGCCTGAAGGCCTCGAACCCACCACCTATCCCCCAAACCCATGACGGTCGGAGTTTCTGTCTTCCACCGCCATGACCCTCTCCCCTTGATGGCTTTTTCCGTCCGGATGCACGACGACCGTTCATTTTTGCGGAGATTCTTCTTATTTTATCGTTCCGAAGTGACCCGACCCCCACGGGACTTCGCGACAATAGTTTGACTCTGATTAAGGCACGGGGTAACCTCTGGCACGAAACGAGAGCCTCCCGTTCCGTCCGGGAGACTCAACCCCTATGGCCAAAAATCCTCGGCCACGCCCCTCCTAGAACTCTGATTGGCGACCCAGTACAGGAAGCCGCGAGGGGGCGTGAGGTTGCGTATCACAGCGTCACCAAGAACACGAGTCCCCCTAGCGAGACCAGCGACAATCAAACTGCGGCCGCCACGTGGCGTGAGCGGCGACCACGGCAACACACTCAGACCCGTATAAGGCAATATTAGAGTCGGGGAATCGAAACAATCAATTAAGACGAACCCGTCTCCCCTAATATTAAACGCCCGAGGCGGGTCTCGCCAACAGACTTGCTCCATTCGACTCAAAGCGCGCCGTACATCCGCATCGCAGTAGACATCGTCGTCATCTGCGATGGGGAAGGCGGGTGGCGAGATGGAACGATCGGAGGTAGGCGATAAACACGGGCCAGACCCCGCGCTCCCGGTCATCCGTACCAACACGATCTCCATGCAACACTCGATGCAACCCTCTCTCTCGAGGTTAGTGCGTCGACAGAAGATGATGAAATCTAAGTTCTCTTCTCCATCGCGGGGGCGTCGACCGCGCGCGCGGACGCCGACAGTTGACGTCACCGGTGCAGGGACGAGAAGATCAAAAGCGATGACTACCAGTTCAAAAAAAAGGGCGAGAGGGAGAGAGAGAGAGAGAAAGTAAGTTACATCGAGACTGCGCATGCGCGCAGGAAGGGCCACGAAAGGGAGGGGAACAACGGGATTAACACACTTATACTCCTAAGCAGACGGTCCCCCAACTCTGTTCCTCCGTCCCCGCCCGGATAAGTACATACACACATACATGCATGCAATCAACAACCCTTGACAGGACATCCAATCATCCATAGACCTTTGACATCACTCATGCGCGCAACAAGCTCCCATCACTCGGGGTCTCACACACACGTCATGCATAGACAAAGCAGCAGCGGAGATAAAAGCGAGTCCTTCTTGTATACAAAAATTCTCAATTAACTGCCGCCCCCAGGCGCAGCCTTCAAAACTTCCCAAGACCACCGACCACCATAGCCACAAGGCCCTGCCGCGGCCGGCGTCCAATCCCCACCACTGCTCGGCCCCTCCGACTGCTTCGCCCGGAGACTACCGTGGGTCCACCCCGCGTCGTCACTCCGCCCGTCCTTGGGCTCGTCGAGCCTGTTCGGCGCCGCGGACTTCGCACATAGCTCGCGGAGCATTGCAGCCGAGATCAAAGAGAGGGACAGGAGAGGGTTGCACGAATTTATAGCGCGGGAGGCGGCGGGTTGTCAGCGCGAGGTGCGGGCAGCGCAGGGTGTAGATGGGCAGGGCAGAAGAAAGGTGGGGAGTTAGAGGGTTCGACCCGCGGGATTGCATGGTCCTACGTGGTTGGGGTATTCGTTCAAGTGGTGCGCGGTTTCCCGCTTTCCACATTGATCCGAGCATCCCAACTACGCAGCCAATCACTTCGCGGAGGAAGACGGGGTAAGGATCGAGTTGGGCGTAGGGGAAGACGAAGAGTCCGGCCTGAGGGGGACGCGTGCAGCAAGAAGGGAAGATGGCGCGGGGATGCAAAGCAAGAAACGGGGGTGTGAGACGCGCGAAGAAATCGGAGCTTAGGCGTGCGCGCGCAAAAATTCAAAAAGTCCCAACCGAAACCGTTTCTTGGTTTTCATACCGCGGCCGCTATTCGCCCGCGCGGGAGTTATTAGCCAAAAAAAATGAAAAATTCGTTCAAAAAGAAAACAAAAGCAAAAAGAAAGGAAAAACCCCTTTTTGTTCGCATCCGTACTTCGGGGCTTCCGGAGGATTTTTCCTCGGATACGGCAAGCCGCGCGGTACGGGTCTGAGCTTATCACATCTGTGATACGCAAGGGGTTCCGAAAAATTAGCAGTCTCCCGACTGCTGATGTCATCATATTTTGGATGCTCGGGCGGCCTCTTCATTGTCAGCAGGCCCGAGCATCTCCTATCCTACTTTGATGCATTTCGCATCGTCAGCCATCTCCCTCGTATTATACATTCGATCAGGCGGCCCCTTCATCGTCAGCTGGCCCGATCGGTAAGCCGTCCACTGTTTTTTTTTTTTTTTTTTTTNTTTTTTTTTTTTTTTTTTTTTTTTCCATATACAGCGCGTCTCGACGTGCGAACTTTGGGCATAAGAGAAGAAGACGATGAGGAGAAGGAGAAGGAGAGAAGAGGGGACAGGAAGACGAGGGTGATCAGAGGAAGTGATCGATGTCGGGATTGAGAGGGGGCGGAATAGGTGGAAGAAAAGCGGCCATTGCCGCGGGAGTCGTCGGCGCGTCTTCCTCATGGAAGTGGTGCTGGACGAACGAGGGATAGAGGAAGGCCCCCGACACATGAGACAGGACACGTGGCGCTAGATCCGCCACCGCTCGCACCACCCGCTTCCGCACCGATCGGGGTCCTGGACCCGTCATCACCACACGAGTCTCGGTGTAGGGCCGTCGCTCCCGCTTCTGCGCCGCGAAGACAAGGAAGTGGTACATCACATTGGGACTCTGCCCGGTCTCGTAGATGAGCGTCCCTGCCAGTCGCGCCGCAATACACCCTTGAAAAGGGGGTGTCAGATATGGCTCCCACGCCGGATCAGGGCGCGGCGCCCCCGCGATGGCCTCGAGCGTGATGGTGGTGGACTCCACCATGAAATTCACCTCTGTCGGATGGACCGTCCAGCTCGGAGGAACTGCTAATGTCAATGATCGGGGCACTCCGGAGTGGGTGGTGGAAGCGGAGAGGTCCCGCGAGGACGGGGGATCTGGATATGGGATCCAGTAATCCCATTCGGCTTCCTCCTCCGGCTGCTGTGGCTGATGGCCCGACTCCATCAAGATTGAGATCGGGCACTCTCGGGAAGGGCGGCACTGGCACGACAGTCTCTTTAACCAGCGTCGCCGCACTCCCAGGCACTGGGTCAAGATTCCGCGTGCGCACGGGCTGAACCACCTCCTCGCCGCCACCGATTCTACTGCCTTGCGCTCCTAGCGACGGGTGGCATCTCTTCCTCTTCGGCGTCTTCTTGGGGGCCTTTGGCGGCGCCGGTCTGGGATACGACGAGGGAGGCCGCAACGGCTTTTCCTCCGGGAAGTCCTCCAACCTCTCCTCGTGCTGCGCAATGTAATCCGGGATGACGACCGCGTTGTACGTTCTCCGCGGGGCAGCCGCCGTCCGCAATCGTGGCTGGATCTCCTCTTCCTCGCTCGCGATCACTTGCGCAATGGATAAGAGCTCAAGATGTATGAGCTCTAACAATCCCGGATCGGTCGTCTGGAGCTGGGCGAATGGGTACAACGCCACTGTCCCCTCCTTATGCGCTGGCTTGGGCCGCGTGATGACGTAATAGACGACGAAGTGCTCCCCGATGCAGTGGTCTTCGTGATCCACGAAGAATCGGAACATCGCCAACGCCACCGACTTGTACAGCGCACGGTGCAACTCCCACGCGTCTTCGTCTGCGAAGGGAAGCGGCTCCACGTCAGTTAGCTCCACCAAATACTGCGAGAACTCGCGCATAGGATAAGGGCCCTCAGTGAGTTGATAGGGGAGAGTGGTGTAAGAGAAGAAGGGAGGCATTTAGTACGGGGCAGGGGGAATAGCTTGGATGTTGAGAGGGGGAGGAAGAAGTGCGGGGAGCTGTGGCACCAACGCGATCGGTCCGTCCTCGGCCCTGCGTAGCAGCGCTTCGTGGGCTGTGAATCGGTGTCCCCCCCGTCCTTGCACTCTAGCCACTGATCTGGCCGCCTGCACCGCGTATTCGCGCACAAAACTCCGCGCCAGCTCCCGACTCGGCTGTGGCAGGACCGTCAAGTCTCTGATAAAGATGGCGATGCTATGCATGAAGTTAGGTGCCACCTGGAGCGCGCGGAACTCGATGAACACTTGAGTCGTCTCCCGCCCAGGCAACTGCGTCACGTCCACGTACACCCCCGCATACGTCAGCCGATCACAAAGCAACGAGTATGCTGCCAGATCAGCCACCCCGGGCGCTGGCATGTTCACTTGCTGAATGTCGTATCGCAACTGCCTTTCCTGATTGAGCTGATGCCGCAACAAGCGATCTGCAAGCGGCGTCTGGAAATGCTCGAGTGGCTCATGTTCCGGTTGGCGATGGTTCATCCTGCTCCCTAAAACTCTCAGCACCAAGGGACGAGGCAGATTGGGAAGACGAGGAAGACGAAGAAGGAGAGGAGGAGAGAGAGGACGAAGGCTCGGACGGGGCAAGAGCTGATTCGCGGCCCGGAGATGGCCGAAACAGCCGAAGAGCCGTCGAGTGTCGCGTAAGCGACCTGGCCTGCGTGCTATGTCAGGGGACCAGCTTCACGGAGTGCTGTCCTCATGCGCCAACTCTCGTCACTTCGTAAATGCCGGTATAGCGTGGGTGGATCTTGGAGGAGCGCGCAGATTTTCGTACCTGCACCAAGTCCCCGATTTTATAACGGGGCATTGGTTCCGCTGTCGCGTGTCGGTTCTCTTAGTCCAGGATCTGCCGTTGATGCGTCAGATCTACGGCCCTTTGTTGTCTTCGGGCTAACGCGGGATAGGTTTGGGCCATCAGATCCAGGTAATGTTGGGCCTTGTCCTTGTGCTGGGCCCGGGTCACTCTAACTTCCGTACCCACTAGAGGTGACAACTGCACTCTGGGGACATTATTGGTTCTTAGTTGGAACGGGGACACTCCGGTGCTCCCGTGGGGAGTAGCCCGATAGACGACCAAAATGTGGTCGACTATGACAGGCCAGGGCCTGGTATCACCTGCCGTGATATTCCGTCAAAGTGCAGTCTTGATCATTCAATTGGCATTCTCTACGAGCCCGTTGGCTTGAGGCCAGTGCCCTGGGGAGTATGAAATTCTAACGTCTTCCCTTACAAGATGTCGCTCTTCTTCCCCCTGGAACTCGGATCCATTGTCCATATGTATCTCTTCTACGTTCAGGTGCATGCACAAAAAGCGATTAATGTACTAGGCTACTTCCTGCGAGTTCCGGATGGTCATTGGATACGCTTCGATCCATTTCGAAAAATGATCTACGACTACAAGAAGAACATTGAGTTCTCCTTGATCGACAGGGCCTCTCGGCACGTTGATGTCCGTCGTATCGATACTGACCCGTTGGAAGGGGCGCTCCACCCGGGTAGGAACTATTGCACGGGGCATCTGTATCGGCGCCTTATCAGCCACGCAGGCCGGGCAAGTCCGGACGATGTATTTCACATCTTCCTGGATTCCCGACCAGTACCATCCGTTTTTCTCTATTGCTTTTTCCGTGTATTTGACTGCAAAGTGGACCGCATCCTTCTCGTGGGCGGCTCGTGTCTAATCGAACCTAGCCTATGGGTGTGGAACCGTCAGCCAACTAGATCCGTCGACGTCATCGTCTTTCGTTTTTGAAGGATGAATCCCTGCCAGCGGTAATCGTGCACCTGTTCCGTGACACGCCGCCGTTCAGCCTTGGTAAGTTCCGTCAGCGGATCGCCTGTCAGTCTCCGTAATAGCAGAAGATCCGTCCAGACTTCCGCTCGGCGGACGCTTGGCAAAAATCCGTCTGCCGTTCTAGCTTCTAGATACCGTGTTTCCGTAGGTACGTAGTCCGTTCGACAGTTGGGACAGTTCCAACTTTTTTCATTCCGATACCGGACACAACTCCCATGGGACCGGACGATGTGACATTGACTACATCGTACCCAGGGAAGAAAGCTAGGCCCCTCGAGAGGAGGATCTCCCCCTGTCGGTATTATAGGCAAGGTGCAGAAGAAACAAATTTGGGAAGGCGTGCTCGGAGGGGAGTCAGGGTCAAGAGAGGGGGTTGAAGAATAGGGAAGGGGGGAAGGGGTGTCGGCTTCCTCATGGGAGATCGCCATCTTCGATTGCTGCAGTACCCTTGCGGAGGACATTCACCTCCCCRTAGCCGGGTTCCGTCGAAGGCGAAATCGGCTTCCGCAGGATGAGCTTCTCGTTCGCGGGACTCTTGCTCGGTGGCTGGAGGCGCATCAGACCATCGGCGTTCCCGTGCTGCCTGGTGGCGCGGTGGCGGATGTCGAAGTCGTAGTCCTGCAATCTCACCGCCCACCTTCCCAAGGTACCCGTGTAGTCCATGTTGTTCCGCAACGATAGCAATGGCTGATGATCTGTCACGAGCACGAACTTCTGGCCGTACAGATACGGTCGAAAGTGTTGAACCCCCCACACCACCGCCAAGCATTCACCCTTGCACGCCTCGTAGTTTAACTGCGCCTGACTCAGCATTTTCGACGCATACTGGATGACATGCTCCCTGCCATCCGTTCCTTGCTGAGTCAACACCGCCGATATCCCCTGCGGCTGCCAGTCAGTATGCAGCGCAAACTGTCGTGTCGGATCGGGACGCGCCAACACGCGGGTCGATGTCAAAGCCTCCTTGAGTGCCCGAAAAGCCGCCTCGCATTCTGGCGTCCAGATCAGCTGCTCCTCCTTCTTCAGCAGGTTCGTCGGCGGCTTGGCGAGGCAGGCAAAGCTCCGAATGAAGCGTCGATAATAAGAGGCCAGCCCTAGGAAGGCTCGACCCTCGACCGTGACGATGTAGCCCAAAAAGGAAATTTCGGACCAAAAGAACTCACTTTTCTCCAGAGCCACTTTGAGCCTCGCATCTTTCAACGCATGCAAACACCCATTCGACATGTTCCACATGGTACTCGTAGGTTTTGGAAAAGACCAAAATGTCATCCATGTACACAATCACAAAAAAAATTATCAACGGCTGTGTCAAACGGGTTTTGTTAACGAACTCCGCGAAGGCCATATTCATGGTCCGCTGGAATATTGCGGGAGCGTTGCAAATTCCCATGGGACACCGAATCCACTACCACGTGCCTTCGAACAGGGCAAAAGCGGTTTTGGGCCGGTCTTCTGGTCGGACTGCGACGTGGTGAAAACCGTGTCGGATATCGAACTTTGAAAAGACCCGAGCGGACCCGATAGCATCCAGCAGATCGTCAATCCGCGGCAGCAGATAGACATCTTTGGTAGTAATAGCGTTTTATTTGCGGTAGTCAATACACACTCGGACTGAACCGTTTCATTTTGTCACGAGGACCACGGAAAATGACCATGGTCCCAGGGATGGTTAAACCCACCCTAACCGCTCGAACTCCCGTACCCTTTCCAAGGCCAGTTGTCTTTCCTTTAGGGAATAACGGTACGGTCGACAATGTATCGGAGCGCGATCACATGTATCAATCGCGTATTGGATCAGGTGGGTAAGTCCTATATCGTGGTCCTGGATACTAACGGCCTCTGGGTAGGCCCGTATAACTGTCAAAAGAAGGCGTTTGTAGTCGTCAGGCACATGGACCGGCAGCCGGACGTCCACGTTTCCCTCAGGGAGGGAGATCATCGACGTAACCATGGGGACTGCCGCGATGGCTTCGGGTGAGGCACCAAACGGAGAATTGTCGGTTTTTGTCGAAAGCACGGTCGCGATAAGTTGACTGTCTGCGGGGCTTATCGGTTCATTTTCCATGTCACTGTCGTTCTCGAGCTCGGTTTCAGCCGAGGCTTCCACTTAAAAGGCCTGTATCAGTTCCTTCGGCCTCCATCGATATTCCCTCGTTCCGGGTTGAAATGACACCCCTTCCTTCAAGAGCAGGGCGACTTTTGCGTTTGTAAGCAGGGGCCTGGGAGGCCGAAAAGTTAAATCGCACAACCCCCTGAGCTTTGTAAACCTTTCGGGTAGGGGGTCCGTCCTAAGATATAAGGACGCAAGGGGTTTCGAAAGGTCAGTTATTCGCGACACCCTCAGCAGGGGTTCCCCTTGCACCACTGAGGAGAACGCGTGCGACCAATCGGACTCGCTCCGAACTATTTCCAGGGGTTCTCGTCGCCAGGAATGGCGCCACCGATCATGAACCCGAATCGGATATCGGTCGGGTACATCAGTCTCGTCAGTTTCCGACGAGGTTTCATTTTCGCCTGGTGACAGGCGTCGGATCATGTTGATTTGATGGGCTTTCGTGGTGATTCGAGGCACCGGCTGGGTGCGCATACGCACCGCCAATCTCATTGGTATCGTTTGTGGTTTGGGGTGGACCGATGTGAGCACCACCTTATAGTTGTCAAAGTGCATTCGCGCTCCGACCGCCGCCTGCCACGGAATGCCTAGCAGAACATCATACGCTTGTACATCCAGCACGATTGCGTCACACAAACAATGCACCTGCCCCACCCGTATAGGAACATTCGTTATCCGCCGCTTACAATGAATGTTATCTTACGTAGCGGATATATACAGTTCATCTGGTCAGAGGGGTTGAACCTGTCCTTCCCTTCCCAATCGTTTCGTCAATCTCCAAGAAAATGGCGACCGCTGACGATACCGAGTCTAGGATGGCGGCCGAGGGGTTTCCCTAAACCTCGCAGTCACACTCAACGCTTTTCCAGGTTATAGGATAGGCTCGGAGGAATACCTCGGGTTTTTCCGAGGCAGAATCTACGGTTTGGATCATTCCTGTCCGGTTGGCTTCGTGCATCTTCGAGGTCAAGGGTTGTGACTCTTCGTTTGGGGGTAGGTCTCGTGGGACCGGCTCTTTGCCCTTTCGACTTTCCTCGAATCAGCGCCTGTTTTTGAGGCATCGTTCGATCAACTTCTTATTAGCCGCTTCGGAAATGGTTAGCAGATAGGGAATAGGGACGGGGATCCGTAGATCCAGAGCCTTCAATGCATCCAACACGTCGATGTGACCGTCTTTGTACTCAGGGCCAGGGGCCGTGAGATCTTCGAACCCCGACCGCCAAGTCCCGAGGTTGCTTTCCTCGGTAATCCTTTGGACGTGAAGTATCACTCCAATGGTCCCGGGTTCGAACATCGCCGCAGCCATGTACTCATCGAGCCCTATCTCGGTGGTCGTAGGGGTCACCATTTCCGTTGTTCGAGTATCCATCACCGTGGCTCCCCTCCCTTGTCCTGCAACGGTTGGACCACCCAGCGGGATTTGGGAAGGGACGGTGGGCCCAGCGGGCCCACCCTGAGTTCGAGGTTTCGAACAATCTTTCACAAGGTGGTCTGGCTGATTACAGTTATAACAGCGTAGGGGCGGGACAGCCTCGGCCACGGCCGGTCTTATCATAGGGGCCCTGGTGGCCATAGCCGCTTGTTGCCGTTGTGTGGCGGCTATGCGTTGCCGCTGCAAACCTTGAACAAACTCCGTCAACGGGGCCACTACCGTAACTAGTTGGGCCGCGACCTCTTTCATGGATACTTCTTCCTCGCCCCGGCCTCCTTCAGCTTGGCTAGAGCGACGAGAGGTCGAAGCAGAGGACGAAGCTTTCCGATCCGAACCATTTTTTGTTGGACCCAACCCGAAGCGATCTTCGAACATTCGTGCCGTAGCGGAGTAGCTATTGCGTCGAACACCCGAAGGGTCGTCTTCGTCGGATTCGTAGTCCAGGCCCACATCGTAATTTTCTTTCGCGTACTTAATTGCGTACTGAATTAGCTCCGTCAGGGTATGTTCTATAGGGTTGCATTTCTTGCGGATCTTTTTTCGCAGGCGAGAATCTGACAATCCTCTGACGAAATCAGTCTGTACCATTTCTCGTCCAGCCCGGAGCGTTCGGCTACGTACGTAAAACGTTCTGCATATCTAGCCAAGGTCTCCCGAGGCTGTTGCGTGTATTCCTTTATTAAACGGAGGCATTGACCTGGTGCGATGTGATCAAATCTGTCGAGAAATTTCCTCTGGAAGGCTAACCAATTAGTGAAGGGGTTATGTCCATACCACTCAAAAGCGGTTCAGGCTAACCTTCCGGAAATTCGTTCTCGGAGCAACTTGTTCGACCAACCCTGGGCTTTCAAGGCAGCTAGCCAGGTGCGAGGGTCGGTATCATCTTCGGAGAAAATGGGAACTTCGGAGGGAGGAGGTACAAAGTACAGGGGATAATTGGCCATCCCCGCGTGTTTATCGCGGTCGTTTTCACCCCCAATTCCGGGTTCCACCACAGCGGGAGGCGGATCTCGAGCCTGACCTCTCGCTCGGTTCTGATTGCTATTCGCGGGCCCACCACGGTGGGACCACGCACAGTAGTGTGAACATGAGCCTTTCACGAGTGCTCTTGAAGCACTAAACGACAAGCAGCGCGTGTGTTGTCCGTCCAGACCCGGCTCGCTCTTGAAATTCGGCGGCCTTTCAAGAAACCGTCCGACCTCCCTTGCAAAAATGGGAGTTGCAGGCAGGCGAACAAGAGCGCAATAGTCGACTTCGCCTGACGACTACTTGACAGCTCGTGAAGTGCGTTTTCAAGAGCGATGCGGTGTCGGCCCGAATACCCTTACAAGGGTATTTGGGCACGTTTTTGCAGCTTACAAGAAGAGCGCGCCCGACGATACCCGAGGGCGCGCCCCATTTGTGTTGATTAGAGAGTGTGTGAGCGTGCACTTTGTGGGCACGCGTTAGAGTGACGAAGTCTAGGTTTCAGAGGACCCTGAGACGTCGGTAGGTTGAGTGAGTGTCACGCTAGAGTCTCTGAGGCGGTCGCAACCTCGCACGCACAGACAAGATCTCGGACGACATAGTGTTGACTTGGTAGGATTACGACGCCGCCCGACTACGGAAGATCGGTGGCTTGGGGTCACCGTGTACCAAGTGTAGGCACCAGGTTGACCATGCACCGTAGATGGTAGGAGCCACCGCCGGGAACGGCACAGGTTGGAGCGGAGGCCGGGGGTTGCCGGAGAGCGGCGATAGAAGTGCCGGTCACGACAGGCTATGAGAGCCTTGGGCCGCGACCACGATATGAAGGGGGCGGTGGGCGTAGTGAACCGAGCGGAGCCCCGCCCTGAGGCAGCCAGTATGGCATTTCGTAGCCTGAGGCGCAGGCTGTAAATCAGATCAGTGGCCTATAGTACCTTGCTGCAGGCCGGCCTAACGGGCACTACTCTTCATATGGAACCTGGCTTGCAATAGTGCCAAGCTGGGGGCTTAGCCCTATAGGTTATATTATTGAATTGCCACCAAGCGGATTTTGGGATTGAGGCCAAAGTGGAGCAGCACAGAAGTGAACCGAGGGGTTGAGGGTCCTATGGGACTATCCCTTTTGGTTTTGCAGAGGGGAGTCCAGCAGCGGGCCCGTGAGGGTAGGACCAGGTACAAACGGTCCCCTCCCCCGTCCATTTTTTTACTTTATTAGTTCTGATTTTTTCTGAATTTTTATTTTTATCTTTTTCTATTTCTAGCTTCTTTTTTTTTTTTTTTTTTTTTTTTTTTTGTTTTAGGCCCGGCGCCGGTGCCCGGACCTACAATAGAGCCGACGGCTTAGTTCAGCCACGAACTGCCCGAGTTGGGAGGGGTGCGGTCCTTCGGGACATCCGTTAAAATTGGAACGATACAGAAAGGAGTTTAGCCCGGCCCCTGCACCTGGGTGAAGCTTATAAAATCGGGGAGGGCCGCCCGACATTGGTGCTGGGTGTGACTACACGGTAAGTCGCCGTTGCTGCGCGTTCCCCCCGACTGAGTGGGTTGCGGAGCGCTGCGAGGGCAGCCTCGGACGAAGGTGGAGACAGCTATTGCTGGTGGGAAGATGGTAGTATAGAAGGAAGAGAGAGAAAGGATTAGAAGAGAGGGAGACAGTGCAGGAGAGGGCAGCACCACGAGAAGGAAAGCAGCAGATACAGGGGAAAAAAAAGGGGGGGATGAACCTGGACGCAGTTTCGTGTCAGGTGCATTCGAAGGAGGAGGGAGAAAAGTTCAGAAACGGACGTCGAGGCTAGAAGCTAGGGCGTGTTGAAAGGCTACA